AGCAACCATGACTTAATCAAGATTTAGCTAGAGGAAAAATCACGTATTAGAAACCATGACTTAATCAAGACTTAGCTAGGGGTTACTGTATTAGAAACCATGACTTAATCAAGACTTAGCTAGGGGTTACTGTATTAGAAACCATGACTTAATCAAGACTTAGCTAGGGAGTCACTGTATTAGAAACCATGACTTAATCAAGACTTAGCTAGGGAGTCACTGTATTAGCAACCATGACTTAATCAAGACTTAGCTAGGGGTTACTGTATTAGCAACCATGACTTAATCAAGACTTAGCTAGGGGGTCACTGTATTATCAACCATGACTTAAACTTATTAGCATTAACTCATATAATGCTGTTTAATTTCTGCACTTAGAATTGTATATAATTCATGTACAGACAGGGTTTGAATAGTTTCTCTATGTTCTTTAGTGATCCTGGTATTTCATGGCAGCAACAACAACAACAACAGCAGCAGTCCTTGAGCGTTGTAACGACAGTATGGGGCTCGGTACAGCCGAATAATACAAACCCTATGAGCAACAATGCACTCACACCTGGAGGTTTGTATGCTAATTTATTAGTTGATTTACTATGATTTATAAAACATTCACAGATAAAACTTAATCTCAAAACTTAAGTGTGCCAATTTTGATTATCGCTTATACGTCTTGTTGTGAAAGAGTCAAAATGAGGATGATGATAAGACAAACTATGAAACAAATAAAACATATTGATGGAGTGTTGCAATGGATACATATACGGTAGTATACCATATATATATACTATACATTTTTCAATGACAATCCATTTTTAGCTCCGCTGTCGACTTTGTCGAGCGGAGCTTATCATATGAGTGATTGTCCGTCGTCGTCCGTGTCAATGTTTTACTTTTTCGACTTCTTCTTGAAAACTACAAGCCTGAATGCTTTAATACTTGGTGTATATGTACCTTGGGTAGTCCTCTCTTAGGTTTGTTCATTTCATGTTGATATCTTCAATTCTCTAATTTTGGTGAATATTTTTGTCATTTTTGGTAAAAAGTGATATTTTCGACTTCTTGTTAAAAACCGCAAGTCCAATTGCTTTGATACTACATATATAGGTACTACATGTGGACCTCTCTCAGATTTGTTCATTTTGTAATGATATCTTTAATTATCTACAGTAATTTTGGTGAATATTTTTGTTATTTTTGGCAAAAAGTGATATTTTCGACTTCTTGTTAAAAACCACAAGTGCAATTGCTTTGATATTACATATATAGGTACTACATGTGGACCTCTCTCAGATTTGTTCATTTTGTAATGATATCCTCAAATCTCTAATTTTGGTGAATATTTTTGTCATTTTTGGTAGAAAGTGATATTTTCGACTTGTTAAAAACTGTAAGTCCGATTGCTTTAATACTATACATATTGTTCATTTTCTAATGATGTCTTCAGTTCTTTAATTGAAATGTGCATTGCTAACAGCGGAGCTATCTCAGCCGATAGGCTGCTTGTTTATTTTTTCATTTGAACTTAGTGCTAGCTGTATTTCATATTTTCAGGCACTGGCACACAGACTAGTATGTCCAACCATCAGTTTCCGCAGCAAAATCATCCATTTACTGCTGCCGCCACCAATTCACAGAAACAGTACACTCCACAAAATATGGGGGGCTACAATAGGAGAGAACCACAGGGCATGTACGGACGTCCAAATAGGTATGCTTATGTTTATATTTATTTTCTTCCATTTACATATCTCCCACAATATGGAGGTTTCTTACTTTGGCATTGATGTTTTTTATTTAGTTTTCAAGTGCATATTTTCTGTACATTGTGCTATAAAGAAACAGGAAACTGATATGTATTGTGGGACATATGTAATAAACCATTTGCATTTTGGGTACAGGGGTAGTCAATGCTACAATAGTTTATATGTGTGTACATCTACACTCAGATAACATTATGTAGATTAGTTTTGTAGATGGACATGCATGACGGTACTCCCATGGAACAATGAATGATGACATCACTTCCACTAAAACAAAAACATGACATCACTTGCACTGAAACACAAAGAATGATGACATCACTTGCACTGAAACACAAAGAATGATGACATCACTTGCACTGAAACACAAAGAATGATGACATCACTTGCATTGAAACACAAAGAAGATGACAATTTACTGTTATGTAAATATTCTTTCTAAGCAAATCCCTTTACTAATCATGTATAAGGGAGATGCACCATGGGAGTATTGCAACATTGTCTTCCTTTGTAGCAATTTTAGGTTTCATATCCAGAAATCATAAGATTCCTATGCTTGATCACCTCCAACATTAAGATTTTTTTCAAATCCAACTATATGTAAACTTGAATGCATTATTCGGGAATTATCTTTGGAATAGTGAACTCTGATTATTGTCTCAAGTTATGATTCAAACAAATTGTATAGACTTAATTTTACCATAATTTTATCCTAATTGTTTCAACTACAACCATATCATATCATTAATTATAAATTCAACTATAACCATATCATATCGATAATTATAAATTCGACAGCAACCATGTCACATCGTTAATTATAAATAACTTTAGCTAGGTGTCATTCATGTTTTCTGTATAAAAGAAATTAATGTGCGATATAATAATTTTTCAATTTTATTTCGGCTTTTCCATTGCATTAGGGATGAAATGATGCAGTATGCTAGTAATATGTATGAAGGCATTGGCAGGTGAGAGAAAGGCTGATATAGGTCATCATCTATTGCCTTCCATCACACCCCTTCTTTTGATAATGGTATCTTCTATGTTATTAACAGTGGGCTGTTCCATTCTTACACTAAGGGATGATTTAAGTGTTTAACAGCTTTGTTCTGTTTCATATTTCTTGATGTTGTACTTAGCTTATATGAAATGTGTATTAATAAATTGTTAAAGTTTAGAATCATGGTCGATGTAGCTCAATTTTATTGCGTGATTTATAATATTTTATTTTATTGATTTTCAAAATTATTCAGATCACAATTTTAATATTTGTGATTTATTTTGTGATTTCTCATTTAAATCTCTTTAGACTGAGTCCATAATTACTGTTGATGGTCATTACCAGCCTTATTTATACTTTTTTGGTTTGTTTTATTTTAGTGGGTACATGCAGGGACCAAATGGACCTGCACAAATTCCTCAGCAAGGCAGTAATGATCAATTCTCAGAACCGGCAGCAGCAGCAGCTGCCGCAGCGGTAGCAGCAGCTGCCGCAACTGCAACTGCAACGGCAACAGCAACTGTAACAGCAATGAAAGGCCAGCAGCAGCAACAACAGCAACAACAACAACAGCAGCAACAACAGCAGCAACAACAGCAACAACAACAGCAGCAGCAACAGCAACTTGGGGATTATGGGCCGCAGGTGAGATTTCAATATCCAGACTATTATAATCTGTGCATTGTCATTCACACATTATTTTCCAAGGCCTATTTTGATTAGCGTACATCTGTCCTACCACCACATAGTAAGGTACTCATATTTATCTAATCTGGTCTGCATAATCCTCCAAAATGCAGGGCACCACAATCACATGTGCTTGCAAAGATTTTTTCCCATATTTTTTATAAATTTTTAGTCTAGTTAGCTAGTTAGTCCGAAATTTGAAATGTAGTGGAAACAGTCTGGATAGGCAAGTAAAGATGTTATTCTGAAACTCAGTGCTTTAAGTGTGGGAGGGTAGTTGATACAAGTCATACCCATTCTAATCATTATCAAATAATATTATATTATATATATGATAACATTTTCCAGTCACCACCATCATTCAACACCCCCCCCCCCCTCACATATTAAATATTGGTTAGATTAAATAAGAGTTATAAATAGTACATGGTAAAAGATGATGGCAAACCTAATGTCATAATTTTTACCTTGCCCGTACCATCAAATATGGAAGGGAAAATTATATTAAGGGGAACATTTTGTCCGGCGTTGTTGTTGTCGTCGTCATCGTTAATAATTGTTATTGTGTGCATAATAACTTTACTAATTCTATTCCAAACTTTATCAAACTTGGTCACCTTATTCAGCAGTATAAAGTCTTCCCTGAGTTTGAACAACAGATGTCCTGTATGA